GGGAGCGTCGTGGCTTTTTACAAGTTAGCCAACTGCAAACGAACGAATGGAGGAAGGAGAGTCTATTATGTTCAAGGACACAGAATCGTCAGTTGTGTTGCCAGCACTAGGTGTCAAATCATCCCATCCTTAGGAAAATTCTTCTCTAATAACAGCTCGTAGTTGAAAGGAATAAAAAGCAACTAGATTCTGCCGGTTAAAGGTGCTCTTTAAATTAGTATTTGTTTAAAATGCATTCCCACTTTTCAGAATAAGACCAGCAGGTCTGCATCAGCAATGTCAACACATTCTGAACCAAGTCAGCTGGGTGTCAGTACAATTATTGATTCTTCTGGTAAGTAAAAAAATTCTTACTAAGAGCCGTAGTTTGAGAATATTCACTTTTGAAAATCATCAAGTAATTCAAAGTTGTTTCTATCTATTTTACTGATATCCAATGTGCTAAGAAATTGAAAGAAAACTATACAACCTTAGAGCCATGAGAGAAATGTTCAATTTCTTTTGATGGTGGGGATCAGTTGGTTTTGATCTTGACTGACAAATGCAATTGTTTGATTGTGTAATTCTGCTTATTCTCATTCCGCACATACTAAATGGATTCTCGTACTCCAAGCAAAACTGCTAGGATGAAACAGCAAGGCTCCAGGGAAGTCTGTCTGCCATTAAATATATGCGATTTATAAATTTTAAATATTGGCGTCTGTTTTTGTTTATTCACGACTGTTCTATTTGGCTCTTTGGTATTTAAAAAGACCTTATAAACTATTGTGGTGTTTAGATACTACTATGAATATGCATTTAGTATTAAGTTCTTTATTGCTACAGTTTCAAGGAACTATTTGTCCTCATCAGGCTACAATAGAATAATATTTACATTGACAATGGATAATATCAGGTTAAGTGTATTAAATGTAATACAAATTAGGCAATTAGTACGTTACTCACTAAACTAATAATTACACAGTATAAGTATATGGAGCATACCTTTTTCAAATGTCAATTATCACATCTATTGGTATGCTTATTCAAAACATTTTTCATACACGCTACAGTACCAATGTATGGTAGCACGCTATATGTTTGTAGAAATTGTATAACATAACTTAATGCTAAATGTATATTCATATGCTATTTATGTATTGCATTATGGAACTTTTGATATATGTGTTACGTAAAGAACTGTTCTGTATATATTCTATATTATGTTATTGGAGTACTATGCAGATTATAGACTGTTTTTGTTTAAATATAAAAGTTATTTGCAGTGTTATTCTAAGTATTTTATTTTTTGTTGAAGAGGAGTGTGCATGCTACTTTTTGGAAAACTATTTTATAGTTTTGTTCAACAGCATTTTTTGCTGCTGGAGGTCACTGGTTATAAATATTTCCAGTTGACCCTAGCTACCTAAAATAAACTATCCATGATGGAGATGGTTTTCTGGAGGCATGCTGTCTTCTCCACAGGAGAGAGAGCTCAATGGTGCTATTATAGGATATTATTTCTTCCTTTATTTCTAACTTTTGCAATCTTTGACAATACAGATAGTTCAAGAAAAATGAGACCAGCACCATTTTTTTAGCTGTCTCTGAGGGAAAAACTCAAGAAATAATTTGGAGAAAGTTTTAAGATAATTGGTTAAAAATGATGTGCAGAAACAATCTGGAAAATTGCACTCTCTCTGTCCGCTGTGTGTGTGTGCGCGCACGCGTGCGTGCGTGCCCGTTGCTCCCTGTGTCCCCTCTTTCTCAAGTTTTAAAAATTGATATTTGTGAAAATTAAAAAAAAAATTTTGGCCTTGGATTAAGATTTAATGTACATTTTGACATCTTTTACAGGAGTATTTCAGTCATTTCAAGCAATGAAGATGAATCTTAAAGATGAAGCAATTGAATTAGGTGAAGACGCAAGCAGCGTCTTCTCTGTTTGGGTTTCATATGCTGAAATCTATAATGAGAACATCTACGATTTACTGCAACCTACAAGTATTAGACCTAACAAACCCTTGTTAATGGGTGAAAATGACAAGAGAGAAGTGTTTATTAAAGGTCTCACCGAAGTATGTGTTCACTCAGCTGATGAAGCATACAAGGTTTTTTTGTTTGGTCAGCACAATCTTCACCAGGCTTCCACTAGTGTGAATCATTTGTCCAGTAGATCACACAGTATTTTCTCCATTAAGTTGGTAAAACATTTAAATGTTGAATTACCACAATTCACAACATTGAGCTCGTTAGTATTCTTTGGATATTTAATTTTTAAGTGATGTTTGTCTTCTACCTCATTAATCGTCTTTCTTTATTAGGTGCACATTTGTTGATCTTGCCGGTGCTGAAAGAGCAAAGAAAACAAAAAATGCTGGAGAAAGAATGAAGGAATCTCAAAGCATTAATACATCTCTTCATGTTTTAGGAAAGTGTCTTGAAATTTTGAGGTGAGTTAAAGAACCAGTGTAAAGTGTGTTTGCTTATGAACAGTATTTTAATGGCATACCTTATGCCCTGAGGAACTGATTATTTTTGCTTGCACATTAATTAAGAAATGTCCTTCATGATCCTTTTTATTGCTAGAAAATTGGCCTTAAAACCACCTTAGAACAATGGTAAACAGACAGATAGATCTCCACATTAAATTAATTTTTTAAAACCTCACAGTTCTTGTTGCACTTCTAGGATTATTAGTTTTATTCATAGAGCACATTTCTCTCTGATGGTATCCCATCAGAGTTGCCATGTCTGCATTTTTTGAAGAGATGATTGAAACACCTGTGATAATTTTAGAGTGAATTAGTTTTTCTATAATGGCTACACTAATCATAAAATATTGTAGAAATTATCTAATGATGGCAACTAGCCTTAATAAAGCAATTGTTAACTACATGCTCAAAAGTAAAGACAATTATTTACGCTACTAAGAATTTTAGTTCTGATTTCTTCTTTCTTAAGAAACCATTGGTATTCTTTGTTAGTAATGAATACAGTGAAGTGTTTTGTTTTGGTTTCCTTAATTAACAATCATTGTGATGTCACAATTTGTTCAGCATTATTAGCATGACCGCGAACAAGGTGTGGGGAGCACAGTCTATTATTATACTAGTACTTCTAACATTCCCAGTTTCCTCAAAATCATACTTCCCATAAAATGTATGAAATACTTACTTACACAACTTTGGATGGTGGTGTTCCTTTTAAAATTATGAATTACACCATTAAGGACTATGATTAATTTGAAGAAATAAAAAAATGATAAAATCATTACAAAAAGGGTAGCAAGAAGTACAATCCTCTACCATCAAAATTGTTGGTGTAACTCATCAACAACAGTTCTCATCTTTTCAAAAACATTTGTTATTCTTGTAGGTTTTAATGTTTTCTGGTAATAGATTGAGTAGCATAATTTTACACGAAACCCGTGAGACATTTTCATGATTTTCAAAAAACTGGTCCAACTATTTTGATTAAATTTTGTTGTCGGATAGTGTAAAGTGCACTTGAGAGGATGATACAGATATTGTTTTCATTAAAATTCCCTATTTTCCATAAATTGCAAAAGTTCATTCAAAATACGAAACCATTCTATATTATACCTGAAGCTATCCTTCACAATATTTGTAAATAAATCTACATATGTTACAAGATCCTTCGTTTAATTTCTCATTAGGCCCTAGTCATCTGTTGTGTAGGAGAAACATTTTTATTCTTAAAACTGTTTAATCTTTTTTTAAAATCTTATTTTTTTAGGCACAATCAGAAGAACAGAGATACAAGGTTATTACCTTGTCGTGAAAGTAAACTGACTAGATTGTTCCAGAGAGCCTTGGAAGGTAAAGAAGTTCTCACTATGATTGTCAACATCAATCAAGATGAAGAATTATTCGATGAAACCCTGAATGTACTAAAATTTTCTGCAATTGCAATGGAAGTATGTATTAACTTGTTACTGTATAAATACTTCATTTGCAATTTAATATGATGTTAGTAAATTATGTTTTTGTTGCAGCTCCAATTTGACAGAGTGCATGATTCCACTGTATGTTCTTTGCGTAGGTCAAGTTTTTCTATGTACATGTCAAAACTTTCAAGTAAGTATTAGTGCAGTTATATTTTTTATTATTAACACATTTCTTCTCAATGTTTTATAATGCAATGCAATGCTATTTTTAATTATTTTTTTTACTATACCATTCGTTGAAAAATCTGTAATTTTTTGTATGGAAAATACTTTCCTAAACCACTATATCTATATATAGATACAATTATGCTTATTATGATGTACACAATTTTTATAGACAAATAAATAGTTGCAGGGGAACAGCCAAATTCCATTGTGGCGCCAGGACCAAAGGTTCATAGAAGCTTAGTATTTTGAAAGAGATGTAATATTAGATAGAATATGCTTTCTTTGGATTGTTCCATTGGCGGATATACCAAAGGATATAATCTCTGTAGTTTTCTCTGCGCTAAAACGTGTGGCATAGATCTCCCTTTCTACACGAAAGTTTGTGTGGTCTTTTGAAAATACCAATTGTGAAAGAGAAAGTTTTGAAGTTTTAATAAATAAAATAATAATCTACATACTTAGATCAATAGGACCTTAGGTAAAGAATAGAAAACTGCATGATTAAGCCCATTTTTTGATGAATCCAGAGTGATTGCAATCCGAAGTATTTAGCCAGAATTGATTAGTACTTATGAGCAGATAGTTTCATTCTTGGGTGGACACTTAGCGAAAACAAGCGAGATATCAGAAGTTTGGTTTCATGATGTGGTGCATATTGACTGAGAAAAAACTATTAAATCCACTTTTTGTTCATGTCGGAATATCGTAGAAGGCATGCGTGATCTTACAGGAAGTAATTTGCAATTTGATGAAAATTGTGAAAGAAAATGAGAGTACCAATTGCGGTTTCTTGGCAAATGTCTATATGTACCACACTACATTTTTGTCATGCATCAGAAACTTATTTTTATGCAAATAAAATTGAGGAAACTAAGAAAACGGGCGTCAGGCCCCAAAAAGTATTTACAAAAGTTGTGTATGATTACAATGAAAACTTGCGGAAGAAAGTTTTTAAGTTAAGTGAAGGCAGAAAGAAATATTTTGCCTTCTGGTGAATTATTTCAGCTTGCTTTTAAAGATCATACACATGGTCCAAACTTTTAACATCACCATTATTATCATCAAACTCACTATCACTGTCACTTTCTTCTTCAACTGAATTGATTAAACTTTCTACCGATGGAATTGATAACACTTAGTGCAATTGCAAGTTCATCAAAATGGAGGAAGTCGTTAACTTCATAATCCATTTTCAATTTCTCCAATGCAGAAATAAGATAACTGTCTTCTTCTCCACATGGATTTGGATAAAACAAGCTTTCCTGAAAGTCTTACATATGGTGGATTCACTCATGTCCTTCCATGCCTTTGCTAATGCAGTGCATTGAGGATACATGTTTTGTAAGTCATTGTGTCCTTCCCTGACTCCATCTAATCTAATAATCTCTGCACGTTTTCTCTCTAGTAGGTCTCGAAAAATGGATTATTACTAAATCCAATCCTACCTTGTTTGTGCAGTTTGCTGGCAAGAATTAAATTCTAATATTTCTGAAGTTTATTTTCTTTGAATGTGGAGAGTACTGATCAACAAATAAAGAATTCTTCTGTTTGTGCTCCCATCTTTGCATCAAGAGCATATATTTGCTTCTCAAAACATCGAAGGTCATCCAAGCTTTTTATTGGCCTCGTATTTTGTGGGCAATGTTTTCACTTTCTTGAAGCATCAAGGTTTCTTGGACTTTCCTTTAACAAATGGGCAAAGCTTTTCAGGCCAGTCAGCATTGGCTCTCAACATTACAGTAAGTCTAAGTATACTGTTTTTGCCTCTATGGCAACTTGTCTTTAAACTTGAGAGTTTTGTTTGGTAAAACACACAAAATAGGAAAATTTTTATCTATGTTGAAAATGTCTTTTGGTGAACACTTCTTCACAACATCAATCAGTTTCCCCTCTTGCCATTCTTAAACACTTTCTTCTGGCATGGCATTTCCTTCTCCACAAACAACCGTAAAAACTATTGTACCGCATTTTGAAATGGTCAAGCCAGCCATTTGATGTGGGAAAAGTACTCGGTCAAAAGGTTATCCGCCACATTCAGGGCTTTTTCATGTAACACACGTTCGAAGCATGTGCCATCTGGAACCAATTTTTCAGGATTTCCTCCAGCTCTACATACTTTAAATAGCTGGAATACTTCCTCTACTTGCAAAATTGTCCTTTAATTTACCCTTTTAATAATTGAGTCCTCGTTTGTTACCATTGTGTTCACAGCCGAAACCGATATCCCCAACTTTTGAGCTAACGCAATACTTTCTCTATAGGCTTTCTGTAAAGACACATTCTTTATTTTTAAATCTGTGAAAGGGCAAAATTAACAACTATGAAAACAAAAACTTATTTAAAAGCATATAACTAAGATATCCAACACATATTGGTTTTGATACTACTATAACAAGGAGCACACTACGCTATGAGCAGAAAGGGACTCCTTTCTACCATGAATGAACTCCAAACAAGACCGGAATTTGTAGCCAACAAGATAACTTATTGTGAAAGATTGCTAAAATATCATGCAAACAAAATGGCATTCACAGATCCGTGATGGCATCAAAAAGTGAAAATAGCAGGGAAAATGTAATTTTTATCGTGTAAAAGTGGGGATAATTTAACATTATGAACATAGGAAAAAGGGACCGCAAAAAATTGGCGTAAAGTGAATGAAAACATAAATTCCGGGAACATAAAGGCATGATTGTACTGTATTTACATTCTAACAACAGAAAATACTTTCAAGACTTATTGTTATAGTCCAAACTAGTACTATCTCTTCAGAGAAGCAAGGGGAACTACTTATAAAAATACGGAGTCCGGAAATCTAAATTGCAATTTGGTATATAATACTTAAGTTAAAATGTAGGGCATTATAATAATAAGAGAATGAGGGAAAGAAGAAAGGTCCACAGTGATTTTATAAATGAGGAGTCTTGAGAATGCAATCAAACAATGTAATTTTCAGAAGAATTGGACAATTTTGGAATTGTATGTTGGAAGAGTAAAAAAAAATTTAATTCAATTCGTTTTTTACACCTTCATGAAAAATTACGATTCTGTTTGCATATCAGTAAAATTAGTTTACAGGAATTGCTTGAGGGGCGAAGATGGTACCTATCGGCGATTCACTGACGTGACATTGACTACCCAGCGGCCCTTGTGGGTGCCTGTTGCATAATAAAGTAGTATTACTCCTATAGGAAATAACGGATTACTCAATGATCCTAGAAGCAAGGGGACGTGTTGCGTGTATTTAATAGAAGCAGGAAATAAAAAAACAAAACATTGCAAGCAATATGTTTAATTTAAAAAAAATCTCGAAGGCTTCAAATTTTTCTTTAAACTATTAGAAGAAATAGTGCTAAATGCTCTCAATCAGATGGCATGCAGATGCCTTACGGCTTTATTCTTATATTTTTTCAAACCTTACAAAAATGTATTTCTTTTGTCTCTTTCATCATTAACATTCATCCTAGCAGCAATTTGTTCACATTGTTGTATTTAAGTATGTGTGCTTTAAATTGTATATTAAGTTTCTCAAAATCTCAACAGTTTTGTGTGAAAACTAACCCAAAATTCCGCATTTTCAGAAATATTCAAAAGCTATTTTCTCTAACACTGCTCCATATTTTTCTTCAAACTTTTCGAACAGATGGAAGAATTGCCCTCTTGAATATAACACAAAGTTCATTTAAAGTTGAATACTTTGTTTTTTTCAAAAATTAGCAAACAAATGGCTTCTCTCTCCTCTCTCTCCCTCTCTCTCTTCCTCTCTCTCTCTCTCTCTCTCCTCCTCTCTCCTCTCTCCCTCTCTCTCTCTCTCCCTCCCTCTCCCTCTCTCTCTCCCTCCCTCCCTTCTCTCTCTCTCCCTCCCTCTCCTCTCTCTCTTCTCCCCATCCCTCTCTCCCTCTTCTCTTCTCTCTCCCTCTCTCTCTCTCTCTCTCCTCTCTCTCCTCTCTCTCGCGAAACCTTCTCTCTCTCTCTCCCTCTCTCTCTCTCCCTCTCTCTCTCTCGTCCCTCTCTCTCTCCCTCTTCTCTCCCCTCTCTCTCTCTCTCTCTTCCCTCTCTTCTCCCTCTCTCTCTCCTCTCTCTCTCCCCTCTCTCTCCCTCTCTCTTCTCTCCCTCTCTCTCTCCCCTCTCTCTCTTCTCCTCTTCATCTCCCCTCTCCTCTCCTCTCCGTCTCCTTCCCTCTCCTCCCTGCCCCACTAGTTCGTTATATGTTCATCATAAACATATCGTCTGGGTCATTTTGATTTTTTTTGAAAATGAGTAATTTTTGTGTAATTGCCAGCTTCCAATTTACTGTTATGTGAACGTAAAATGATTGATGATGCTACGCAGTTTGGTGCTACGTGAGTTATAATTTGTATATTATTTCATATTTCATTCTATGATTAATTATTATTTGTACATTACACTTTTATTGTTTCATTTTAAATTTCCTGTAATTCTGTTATTATGAAAACAAATAGATGATTTGGTTTTTGTTAGTTATACAACTGAATACAGAGTAATGCATGTAAAAACTAGTAAATTTGATTTATATAAAAATTGCATAATATTGAATTATTATATTTTTGTATCCAGTTTAATTTTCTTCCTAGTGATGTTTCAATGCAAATTTTGCAAAGTGTGTATCTTATATGAATTACAGGTCATTGTTGCTTGTTGTAAGCTATTCTTGTCACACCACACTGATTACAGAAGGTGATCATTATTGTTGGGGGCTGCCTTTTGTTCGCGTTAATACAAACTAATATTTTTATATATTTGTAGAATATTTCAATTCTGTAGTGTTTAATAATTAAGCTTTTTTATCTATTTGCATTTGTTTGCCATGCTTATCTGCATTGTATTATTTATTAACTTAATTATGTTATTTTCTCGAATACTACTTGCGTGGAATATTGTAAGGCTACAAAACTCATCATAAATATATTGTATACCTTATACTTGTGTACCTGCATACCTTATTCAAAGCCAGACGTGTATTTTTATTTAAAGTTTTGTATGAAAAAATCTATTGCTTGAAACTATTTAATATTGGCACCTTATGATCTGAGATTGTAAATGCATTTCTCAAAAATTGATGACTTGAGATTTGTTAATTTGGAAATTGTGGTTTACATGTTATTACATAACATTTACTGAGGGCAACTAGAGAAGCAAGACGTTTGTCCTGTTTGAGCAGCAAGAGTTGCTTCTTCTCGAGATTCCTTTATAGTACATATAAATGGGTGATTGATATAGTGAAAAAATAATGCAGGCTGTGAACTTCCGTGATGTTTGCCACAAGTCTTCCATTATTGCGATAACATGAAGAAAATTCAAAAGTACCTAAAAAAAAACTGCTAAATATTGCACTTCAATATTTAGGTACGAAAATTATCAAAGATAGTAATGAAGAGGAGAATATTAACAAAAGTATGAACTTCTATCTTAAATGGCATATTGTGGGACAAAAAAATTAAAATAATAATACGATTTTGTTTTACAAACCAATAGTACAATTCATAGTGACGTGGAGCAGAAACGTGGAAATAAAGTAAAAATTCATAAACTGGCAATGGAGATGAATTTTTTGAAGAAGCGCTGCTCAACTAACAAAAGGGCAAAATAAGAAATGCGAAAAAATGGAAGAAAGTATATAATTTCAGAATTCATGAAGTATAAGCCATGGAGTTATACATAATGAGAGGGGACACATCTACAATAAGGTGCAGGAGTTAATCAACATTTGAACTAAGTGGCCAGAATGGGTACTTCTTGAGTGTTGAAGTAACTGGGTCAGGTGCACAGCTCTCAATCTATTTGGATATCCAATGTATATTAACATCCGTAATATCACCTTTTCAGCTAATAGTGAACCTATTTAAAAGTAGCAAAATAATTTGGGTTGGGAAGAATCTGTTGTCGATTATCAAAAAACAGAACTTTGTGCTTACAGTATTCATAAAATATATCCTGGAAACAATTTTACATAATTATAGAACAATATATCGCCGGTAGAGAAGAATAATCTGTTATTCTTAGACATTACATTACCATGAATTGCACACACATTGCATTATTGAAAGAACTCTTGACATATAAATATATGTATCTTTGTTAATAGACTTATAATTTGTTTCCAACTCTTAGAGTTATAACAAATATGCCACTATTTTTGAAGTGGTTTAAATGGTATAAATGATTTTGTATTTACATAATTAAACGTCTACATGTTGGTTGAGATCTACTTTTTGTGTAGAAATTTTTTTTGTTATTACTGTTAAACTACAAATACTCCAAATAAATATACTAAAAATAGATTGTCTCAAACTGCAAATATTTGAGGTCTCTTGGATCCGATCCCAGGGTCTTCGGTTATCCAGACATCTCTATCAATTGAATTATGGAACCAAACACTGCTTTCATCGCAAATTACTTGCAAGGAAAATGCAATCAATTAGCATATTTGCACTTTGTGATAATCTTTGAATAGAAGAAAGAAAGATAAGGAGGGGAGAAACAATTTTTTTAATGATTCTCATTTTTATTAAACCCATACAATTGATGGGGGTAATAAACAGGCTTTGTGGGCTTTTTTCAATTTGCAAATATGTATTACAATTATGCAATTTGCAGTGAGGATTGCAAAAATGTACACATTTGTTGTGGAATGTTAGTGACAATTTTTCAATCTTCTTCCAGCAACTTTCCAATCTTCTATGGAAGGCATCGAAGAGGTTCCAGAGAACAGTCGCTACTTAGTATGTATTATATTTTTATTTAATGCCTTTCTGTTAAGTCTTTCAGCCGAGAAAGTTTTCAAGGAATACATGAGCTAACATTTTCGTTTTCAAATCATTTTAACAATAACCAAGTATTCAAGGTTTATAATGACTGATTTGTCTAAAAATTAAACTTGTAATTCATTGCAATTATCGTGTGCAACTTAAACATTGCTCTCTAACTTAACTGCCTAGTACGAGTTCAGTTTATAGTGCTGAAATAATTCTTTATGTAAATAATCTTTCTATAAATTATTTTGAATTTAGAAACTTCTTGATTATATTGAAGAACTCAAGAAGAATGTACAAGAGGAGAAGAATAAAAATATGACTTTGGAAATACAAATAAGAAGGGAAGCTTATACCCATTTCCGTAAAATAATGCAAGACATGGAGAACAGTTACAAGTAAGTTGTTTTTGTTTATTTACTTTTTTAATTTTTCAAGGAAATTCATTGAGCACGTTTCCTCAGAAAACTCTTCTTGTCCTTGCCAACTTCATGTATTATTGTTTATCTCTTATTGACCAGTTTTTTTGTTGGCTTGATTAAAAAAATAAACAAAATGAAATTTTCACATTCTTGCACAAAAAGTTTCACAATAATTTAACATTTCTTTCACAATAATTTAACATTTCTTTCACAATACGTTAAAAACTAGAAACTCTTTGTCCAACTCTAGTAAGGAAAAAGTGGATAAATCTTGTTGTGTGGCAAAAATTGCTTCCTTTAACATGTAGTCAGAATCCACAGTTGGTGAGACTTGGACATCATAAGTTTATTGATGGCAAATCATTGTCCATCTGTTCATGAACTACACTAGCGACTAAAGCAAGCTCTTTTATTTATTTATTTATTTATTTAAATTTTATAAATCCGGTTCGACCTCAGTGCTCCCAGTGACGTGCAAGAGGCTGCACCAATTTCTAGAGGCACGTTAGTTGCATGCAGTTTACATGTGGTTTGCTTGATGGTAAATGATGATAGGAATACAATTTTAATGCAGTACGTTGAATCTATTGAATATTATTTATTATCCGCTCTTAGCTCACTTGCCATTGTGAAATTAAGACATTACATTTTCATCCTGCATACATTGATGCTTGATAAAAAATGCAAACATCGTGTGGAAATGCCTTAAATGCTATAATTTGTAGCTATAATCAGTAGAATTTGCCAAATGAATCTTCCTTTAGGTTTTTTAAAGATATAGCCAGGAAAGCGTTAACAAAATTGTTTGTAAATGTTTTTTAAAGTGCATTAGCAATTAGCTGATTCCAATGTTTTCTTGTTTACCTTCAATATGGTTTTGTATATACTTTTTTGGCAGTTCAAGATGTTAAGATAAATTTAGTTTAATGTACAATGTTTAGATTAAGTTGGATGTTAAGAAAGATTCCATGTCAACTAATAAATCCCATGGAAATATTGATTTATGCTGTTTTATCATTTTTAATTTATCTTACTAAAATTATCATTTTAACTAGGTGAAGGAGCTTAATCTCAGCAAGGTTTTTGTCCTGTTTTCCTTTATTCATAGAGCAAATGCTGAGATGATCCCTTGTTTTCTTTCTGCACAGTAAATGTAGTCCTCTATAATAAGTGAGGGTAATAAATAGTGTAAGAGGAAACAGGAAAGTGATAGTAATAAATTTTATGATAAACTTGGAATGAGCGTTTCATTATATATACACTGCAAATTTTCAGACGTAATGCACTTACCTATGTGCTGTTTTAAGTGTTCTGAAATTTTAAGCATTAAAAAATTTGAATTACTAAGCAGCCCTCTGTTATCTTAAACACAGATGCCTCTTGCTGGCTACCAGGAGCACTAGTGTCAAATGGATGAATTCTCCTCCCCTTAGAGCTTCGCAACTGTTATAGTAAACAGTGTTACAATATTGAAATTTAAAGTTTATTTTGAATAAAATCTGCTTATTAGAAATGGAACTTTAAATAATGTTCCCACCCAAAACAAGGTGTAGTATATGAACTGTTTTTCATCAAAATCAAAATACCATTTTTAGAAGTTACAAATCAAATATCTTAATTTAGGATACATGGTGTTTCAATTTTGAGGTTACAATTGATTCCACCTTCTTTATGTTGGGACAAATACACATTACGGAATCATTCCACTTAATTGAGTGAAATTTCTTAGTAAACCCTCAATGAAGCTGCTGTTTGTCACAAATACAGATTTAGCTATATTCAAGCTCAAGGTATTTGCACTCACTTTGTTGTGCCACATTTTGTATATACTACCACAAATTACGTTTAACAATAAAAATAGTATCATCCGCAAAGGATACGATTTCGCTCTTTGACAACACTTGAAATACATCACTCCTATACAAGGTGGCAAATAGGGGTCTTGTGGTAATCCTCAAGGAACTATTATAAGTTTCTTCCAACTTATCATTAATAGTCATTAATTATGACAACTTGTTTCCTACTAGACAGGTAGTTTTGAAATAAATTGAAAGTGATACTTTCGTTCTTGTTTTGAAATAAATCCAAAATTGTAGTAGAAATTTATGTAGTAGAATTTTATGGTTCAATGTCTCAAGTGCTTTGCCAAGTCTAAGAAATGGACAAACCTGGTTAATTTCCATCTATTGCATTACTAATTTTCAACAATGTAAGGAGCAAATCTTTTTAAAATGTTAACACTTATCTGTCCCAGCAGGTTTATTTATATTTAAGATTTCTTCCTTGCTAGTTGGTACAAGAAAAGTAGTCTCGGGGCAAACAACCACTAACGACTATGTTTTGTTTAGTACATTTACTTCAATTGATGGCAACTAACTACAAATTATCTGCCTTGTTTCCAAAAAAAATAAAGTAGTATTTATTCACAATTCACTTTACAACCCTAATGAGCTCAACGAATTCAAATGCACACACGCATCAGAATATACTTTTTATGTTTGATCGTTTTTTTATTTTATGCCTATCACTGATATCTCAAAAATTTAAATATATACGAAGTAATTTGCAACACTATATAGGTAGGTGCTGTTTGTTTTAAATTTGTCTTTTTTGTTTGTTTTCAGACAGCGCTTAAAAAATGAAAGGGAGGTATTCGCAGAATGTGAAGAGCTTAATGCTAATTTGTATCAGATGTACTTGAAAAATGCCGGAAAACGCAGTCGGATTGAAGACTCTGAAGATGAGGATGATGATGATGCTGATGATGGTGATGATGATATTGTCGCAGAAGAAGATGACAAAGAAAAGATCAAATTTCTCCAGAACAAAGTAGAGGCCTTAATGGGCCTTGTAGAAAATGCTGAGAAAATGAAAATTGATCATATTGCTCTACAGACTAAACATTCAAAACTTCAGTTTGAATTGGCAACAGTGAAACAAGAATTGGAGACAGCGTTAAAAATTAATAAGGTTAAAAATTAGAAATTAAAAGTGCTCTGCAATTAAAATACTTTCAATCTGTTTTTCTGGGCCTAGTTGCCTGAGGGATTAATCTGTTATAAAAATATCCTTAATTTTTAGGCCACAGCCCAAGATGGAGGAGAAGATGCTATGGAGGACGGTATCAAAGTTCTTAAGGAACAACTTTTCAAATATCAGAACTTGGTAAAAGAAAGAAATAGTGACATTGAGGTGAGATATTATATTATTTATTTAGTTTAATTGAAAAATTGTGTAGAATGCTTTTTACCAGTGGCGCAACCAAAGGGATTCAAGGGGCTTAATGTGCCTGCACCTTGCTGATGACACAATGTTGCGAGTATAGTTTGTAATAATTTTCTGTATTGCCAAAAGTCATTCACTAAATTGAATGTGTTACAAATAACTCAAAATCAAGCCTATGCGCACAGAAATAGAAAGAAAACTATACTTCCTCTGGCCTCTTGAGAAGTGCCTATGGTTTTGTTAGATACCCACAATGTTGGTAAAAATCCAAAAGCTATGAAAAACTTACATTTTGACTGAAGAATGAGAGTATTTGATCGTGTTCCGCCTATTCTCATTCTGCGTATTCCATCTGAATTTTCGTTCTCAGTGTGACGTTGCTTATGATGCAGTCGTGAGACTGAAAGTCTCCAACGAAGGTTGGTATGTAATTAAATATTTGCTATTGCAATCACCTGTTACATTGTTGTACAGCAACTTTTTGATATTCTTGGTATGTGAAGAACTATTATAGTGTGTATATACTATATTATATTATTGCAGTGTTCATGAAGACTTTTTTTGTTAAAATATTTAATTTATTGGTTCTCGAGCTGAACACATGCTACTCTTTGGAAAAATATGCATTTGTGGTTTGGATCAGGATCATTTTTGCTGCTGCCCTGTAGAGCTCTTGAAGTTTTAAACAGTATATACTCGTGTAAGTTCCAGACTATTGTGCAGGTATTCAAAAGGGCCAAACCCACCGGCCTTCATTCGGGTCACCCCTTCAATAGAAGATAGCATCTTTCCTGCTCCATTTATTATTCGTTAAATTGAGCATAAAATAAACAATCTTAAATGGAATCCCTTCTGTTCGTCTCTATAAAAGAAATTGGTATAGTAATGCACACACAAAAATATCTAGAGATGCTGCTGATAAATAACTATATCTGGGTTCTTATTTTTTTTGGCAGGTAAGGACTTGCCTTCATGGTGGAATATCTCATGGCATTTCATGTCTTTCTTGGTTGTGCCGAGATATTCCATCGTGAAGAGGCCTTTGCGCGTGAAGCAGGAACTACCCAAGTTTAACTAATGCTAGTAAACAAATGGAATTACTAATTAATTTTTGAAATAACTCCTCTTAAATATCTCCTTGGGGCCAACCATAAATTATGAAATACGAATTTGGAATATTTTGAGTTCTCTCTCTACACCCTGTAATGCATGTTTGAACACTCCCTAAATAATTACATACATGTCACAGCCAGACACCAGTCCCCCATTTTCAATACGTAAAAATAAATTATAAAGCTGTAACAATAAGTTGTATTAATTTTGTGATGTGTATTAAAATTTTCGATAATTAAAGTCTCAATTAGCTGAGGGAACTGAACCTCGCATAAAATTATAGTACAATTAATTAAATCATGCACTTGATGTAAATCAACTGTTGCTGTTTCACCTAATTGGGAGTTTAAATGTCTCTAGTGTAACATTATTATGAAGATGTTCAAGATCCCCCTTGGATGAAACTGTGAACAGCTGATTTACGTCAAATGTGCAGTTAAATAAATACTAGTGTAGCGACAATTATTGAATGAAGAATGCATAGGTTACAAAATATGACAACTAGCTGTACACATGCTGTCATGAAAGATGCATGGACACTGTTTGCTGTGGCAATTTAATTGGATTCTTGAATATACTATAAGTTTTAAATATTTTCTTTGTAATCTAAGAGATTCAATAAGTATACAATTATTAATGAAAATATAATTAAAATTTTAAAATGATTTATTTATCAAAACATTAATCTATATATAATTTCAATTTAATTTGCTATTATTTTAATGTTTTAGTGTAAAACTGAATGAAAGAAATTATTTTGATTCGTATTTAACATTTTTAGAAATATCAGCGTTTTGTAACACTAAACAATGACCCCTTTCCCTCTTTAACAGTACGTAATTTAGTGATGACCCTTTACAACTATATAACTCTGCAAGATTCTATAAAATAAGTGCTGAAAATACATATTTGCAATTTCGAAAATTTGTAAAACTATACTCTGATATTCATATTTAAAAAATTAAACGACTTTCTTTAAAGAAGTGTTTGTTTGTCTTCTTTTTTTACGTTTATCACGTACCTAAATCTCTATCCTCAATACTTTTTTGCATCAATCACATTTTGCATTTTCTTTTGCATACGTTATGTTCTTGTAGCAAATGCGGCATTGTATCAGTTGCTTGGTTCAAACTAGACAAAATATTAGCCACATGTATTTCATGGACATGAAATGCACGAGGAAGTAGTTTATGACAGCAGGCAGCACTCGTGCGAAGGGATGCCAGCTGCACAATGGCAAACCTAGGGAGCGGAAGGGAAGGTGCTGTGTCGTGGTTGACCACTTCTGAAACCCTTTTACCACATGGAGGAAACTTGTGAACCCTGTAGACATGCCGGCTCTGGAAACGTGTCGGCGTAAACAGCGAGATGACGCAGATCCGTCCACCAAGCCAGAAAGCAATATAAGCAGACCCCGGACCTAAACTCTTTCTTCTGATTCTTGGGCACGTCGGTAGGATGTCGTGTGGGTTTTGCGAGGCGCAGCATTTCAATGCATAGGCTACTGAGGCAGAGAACTGAAGCACGCGTGCCGGCGTTGAGATGGGAGAAGTGGCATACCCGCTTGTATGCGCTCGTAGGTCAACTGGTGTCTCACACCGAACAAGATATCAAATTATCAGCGGTTGTGGTGACCAGGAACATTCCTTCTAGTAACGGGTCGATCTTGTTGATTGTAATTATTATGAATAGTATTCAGGTGTTGGAGCATATTTGAAAAAAAAACAATAAATTACAAACTGTTCACGTCTGTGAATTATTGCCCCTGCAAAGATGCCACACAAAATACAAAAGAATAACAAGTTGGATACTGCACGAGAGTGCTTACAGTAATTGATGAATATTCTAATAAACTGTTTCTTGCTGAAGACAGGAATTTACAATAACTTTGGTTGATAAAATTACAAGAGATATCATGAGACACATTGTTTATGGACTTGTTTGCTGTAAACAACATAGTTAAAGTTTTTTCGATCAAAAATGACTTCTAAATCCTTAAGTCATAACTTTTTGTAATGGAACCGAATCAATTTCATACTGCACAAGTAATAGAGATCACCAGAACATAATGCATTTACATTTTGTAGGATTTAAATTTAAGTCATTATCAATGCACCGTTCTGCAAAAAGATTCAGAACACTTTGCAACATTGTAGCATTATCCAATCCAGTTACAACTCTGAACAGTCCTGCAAAATATTAAATCAACGTTATTAAGAATTAAATGAACATTATTAATAAAAAAGAATAAACAAGAAAACTCAGGTGAGGTCCTTAAGGCACTCCTGACAGAACCGTGTACAATTCTTGTATTTTACAAATTGAATACTACTTATAAGATAATTTGTGAACTGTTCTGTTGTTTGGTAATTGTTAAAGTAATTGTTAGGTAACTGAATAAAAAACTTTGCTTAAATCAGCATAAATACTGTCCACGTGATATTTTAACTTTTACAGTCATATAAGTATTAAATGTGCTAAGCAAGGTTAGCTTAAGTTTTCCTTCTTATCAATCCAAATTTTCTTAGTGGTATATAAGAGTATAGTGTTACTTCCAATTTGTCACTCACAATGTATTCAAAAAGGTTTGGTACGGTGCTAAGGGTAGAGATTGGTTGATAACATGTAAAAAAAATATTTTAGGACACTTTTTTTAGATCCAATAACAGATTTTATATATTTAAAGTGCAAGGATGACATAAATGCTTTCAATTTCCCTGTATCACATCAGGTTTTTAAATAATTTACATTCAAAAATTTTTATAATATCTTTAATTTGAAAACATTGTTAGCTCAACACAAAATTAAGAATTGAAATACAGTTTACCGTGGATAGTTTTCTATATCAGTGTTAAGAAAATGCAAACTTAACATATTAACATAACGCGATTACTTTACTGTTACTGCTACACTTTATTGTTAAAACCACTGTTGTTTTTTATTTTCCATGCACATGATTAGTGAAAGAACCATTTTCGCTTACAAAACTTTCTTGTTCCACTTTTTCTCTCAAATGACAAATTGTGCTCTGTGGTAGGATCATCCCGTAGTAACCAACTTCCCGTCTTACTTCCTCTTAAGCGTTCTTAATGATATGAGTACAAAATTTAAATCTTTCTGGTAGTGCAAATAAGATCAACAGAATATTGAAATGAATTGGTGCCTTATTTACTTGGGGAGACTCAGGCCCACTCTTCTGTCTGACCACACAAATTTTGCTACGCTCCTTCCACTAAGTAGCAAAGATAGGAGGTATTTATTGGGCGATAAAACAGCCGATTTGAATTTAGCTAAGAGGTGACATTTAGGCTTGAGAAAATCTTTTATAGTGTAGTAAATCTTCTAAAATGGGACAGCCGGCTTTACTTTCCCTCTGAAGGAAGGCGTAGGAAGGATTTTTTCGCCCTTAAAAATCCCCGGCTTTGATTGGGTTTGAATCCACGAACTTGGGTATAACAGTCAGATACGCTAACCGTTACAGTATCGCCGCATGCAAATGTGCTTAATCATTCTTCCTAGTTAGTAAAGTGAATTTAGCATATGTTTTAGTTTCTTCGATTTTTTGCCTCCTGCACAATTTGTTCTGTGGTGCCTTTTCTTTGTCCTCTCACTTCAGTGGCAGAGAAGTTCACAGGAACTTCATTTATGAACCAAGTATTTATAAATTCTGTTACAGAAACTCAACAAATTGCTGGAAGATGCAAGGGTTGAGTATACCGCTCATTTTGAACAACACGAGGATTTTGCTGCCCGGAATGAAGAACTTGAGAAGATGGTGGCTGACAGGGTAAATTGGTAGTTTATGTGTAGTAAAAATTTCTAATTTAATGGTTTCATTTTTTAACATACTGAAGTTTTTAAACATAATTTTGTTTTGACATAATTTCAGTTTTTCAGTAAAAGATAAAAATGTTTGAATTCAGTACAAACATCAAATTTAAATATGTTCTAAAAGTTCATTTTAATTCACAGTATTAATGGATTCCTGAGCTGCTAACGTGTTTCAGTTAAATCCATACTTCCTCAAATATATTTAATGTAGGAAAGTTCTCTATTAAGAGAACAGGAAATTTTCAATGCAGCATCTTTTTGCAGATTGTGCCAGCTATGTCAAATATTTAGGGTTCTTAAATCTCATTAAGAAATTTAATTGCAGCTACATTACTCAGTTGTTAAAGCTGCTGAATATGAAAAGTAATATCCAGAAGTGTACCAGAAGAAAATGTTACTAAATAAACAATGATAATACTGACAGCAAAGGAAATTCAATAGTTACCAAATGTAGCTAATTGTAATCAATTATTTTCTTACTTCTTTTTAAGAGCTTTTTCGCACAATTTATCTTCTGTTTGAAACAGATAACACAGTGCAATTGAGCTGTAATAAGCATTTTAGATTATGATATGTAACAGATATCTGTGGATTGCGAGAGGCATGAACACAAACTCTGAATCAACTGTGGATGCAATTCTTCTGCTACAAGAATCGTGCATCATTTCACAAATTCACATTCAGAGAAGTATTGAAGAAATTGTTCTTATTACCTTTGGGCAAAATTAAATGTTTTCCTTAAGGATTCCATTTGTTATTTGTGATGCATATGTGAGCTGCTATCCTTGGAGCACTATAAACAGCTGGTGCATGGAGTAGGAATTACTGTACTAGTAATGCTTGCCAATGTAGAAATCCATATTTGAATACAGCCAATATGTGTATTAGCTTCCTTACATGAGTGAGTTGGGTCGTGAGGAAACTGCTCAGCTCCAGATTCTCAAACAATGTGATCTCGTGTCTTATGTGGAAAGAATCGTATTTCGATAAATTGCTACAATGCGCACGCCTGCTTGGGCAGCAGGCTGGGAGGTGGCGCGATCTTCCGGTCATCTTTGAAAACAGTTCAGAGTCCATTTTATCATAGAGTTCCATACAAGAATTGAATTCTGCCTTCTTGTGAGAGTGTGCTTGCATTTGGGGGGGGTAAACTATCTGAAAGGTGTGATGTTTAAAATGTATGTTCTTTGCTCTTAATTAACTCCAAAGATTTGTCTAAATGATTGAATGCCAAGAATGGTGCCAAATTTCAATTTATTTGGTCACGTCAACAGAGTACGTTTTTTCCAAAGAGTCATGTGATTGAGTACATTTGGAAAAGGTGGTGCAATCTGCAAAATGATACTTTTCTTTTCGTACTGCATTGAAAATTGTCAATGTGAACACTCTGGTTCTTTGAAGTGTGCGCATTGAATCCCATGGTTTCATGACTGGCGTTATCAGCACACTGTGACAGATTATCATAAGCTACAAAGCCATACAACACTCGGACTCTTGTGTCATGCTCCAGGACACTGCTCTGCTCTCCTGATTCACTATGCTTGAGAAGCACTGAGATTGGTCAAGACATATACCTGTGGCAACTAACTCTTAATCAGGATAAATGAACTGCCTTTCATCTAGGTTTCAGAAGAGCCGAATCCACATGTACCATCTGATAATATTATTTTGAGGCATGTTACTAGCCAAAAATAGTGGTGATAAACACACAAAAAGTCAAATGGGTAGGACACAACTGCTTTGACTAGATGAGTTAACAGCTTTCTGTATCTCTTAAGAAATTCCTTCCTGGACTCATGGATTGTTCTTGTATGTGAGAAAATTTTCTGTAGAACTTCACTTATGTTTTTCAGGAAGCTAGAGCAGGAAAATATGTATGTATGATATGTATAAGTGGGGAAACACAACCTGCTGACTTGCAGGGAGGAGAGGGTTTCTCCCCAAAGGGTTGGGGAGAAAACCTGAAAAAATCACGCAAGCTCAGGGGTGGAAAGGGGACCCACTCTCTCTTATAGTGGATTGAGAGAAACTTAGTAGCCTCGGACAAGGACAACTTAGAAACCACACAAGGAATTGGACATGAACATGAATACAGGCATATGGAATATTGCATCTATAACAGGCAAATAAGTAGATATAGTATGAGATGGAAAAGTACAATTTAAAGATTTTGGGAATTAGTGAAATTTAAAAGAAGAGAGCATGAGAGGTGGAATTGCATAAAGGGTATTGAATGAGATATAGTGGAGCTGATATTAAAACAATGGCAGTTGGGGGAGTAGGCATCATTGTGAACCCGGAAATTAATAAGAGTGATAAATTGGGAACTGGTAAGTGCAAGAATTATGAGAGGGGTCATACAATTAAATGAGAGTGGCACTGGTGAGTATATATGCACCACCTGAAGATAAGGATACATTGGAAAAGGAAATTAATAGAACAAACATAAGGGACAAATGATAATTGACAGGTGATAATGAGAGACTGGAATGCTTGAATAGGATTGGATGTGTGGAAAGGAAAGGGTAGTATGGGGAAATATGGAGTGAATAAGACAAGGAATGATAATGGGGAACGGATACTAGAATGTTGCATGAAATCAGTTGCTGATAGGAAATACGTGGTTTCCACGCAAGAAAATGCACAAATACACCTTTGAAACACGAAACCAGATAATAGTTTAAAGTATGATAACTTTACATGCACCAAGTAATTTCAATATTCAGTACTGGATATTAGGGTGTAAAAGTTCAGAACTAAGCGTGGATCCTACATTGTTGGTGATGAAAACCTGTATTAAATATACACCTAGAGAAGGATTTAAGAAATGTTTTAAAATTAAAAGTGAAAAATTGAGAAAAATAGGAAAAAATATGAACAATCAATTGAAGACTGAAAACAAAACAGGGAGAGGTGAAAGAAAGAATCGTGAAAGTACTGAAAAGCTGAAGGAAAATAAGAGACAGCAATAGAGGTATGTTGTAGGAAGAGAGTAAATAGGTGTTCTTAAAATCTAGATGGTGGAACGAATTGGTAAAGAAGAAAAAGAAAGTGTACGCCGCATGTTTTCAAGAACGCATGAAGATTGGGTTAGAAATAGAGCAAAACGAGAAGTGAAGAAGGCGAAGGTGGAGACATAAGAATTTATTTATTTAAGGTAATATACAGGCAACAATACGTTCTGATGTGGCCCAAATCGGCACTAACATAATTAATTATTTTTAACATATCACGTCTAAATGTATATATCACATAACCTCACAATAAGTAACACAATTCTTAAAAAGGAGGAATAGTGTGCATATCAATGTGGTCCATGGCCTTCCTCATTGACGAGACCATCATAAGCTCTTTTGAGCATCTGAAGACTAGGTGCCGTCGCCACGTTCTGGGGGTAGTACGTTCCAGGTGTACACGACTGTTACCTTTGAAGTTCTTGTGCTGCATTAGGTTATGTCTAGATATTACAAGCTTTATACTATGACCTTGTAATTATAGATTTTTCTGAGCCCTGAAAAATGCTACTAAGAGTTGGAGTTGGAGTTGTAATGCCCATGCAAGATCTTGAATGTTTCAAACATGTAGCAGTGTCTCCTAGCAGCAAGAGTAGGGACCCCAAGTTACTTAGTTGTTGATCAAAAACCATGTTCTTAAGGTCTGTAGGGATATGTATAGCTCTCCTTTGTACATTTTCCAGCAGACGTATATCTTTGAGAAAGTAAGGATTCCAAAGTGTGGAACCTAATTCAACTATTGAGAGAATGTATGTTCTATATAGTGAGGTGAATACATCGCTATATAGAATATATGTGTTAATGACTTTACACAGTGTAAATATAGCCTTGTTAGCTTTTCTTTTTTCTTTTCTTCCTTTCTTTTTCTTTTTTATATTACTCATGTAGTTTTCCCATTTGAGATTATTAGAGATCATAATCCCTAGATTTCAGTCAAGTTCCTTCCGCCTGTTTGGTAATGGGTTTTATCTTCCAATATGCATTACCATACGTTTTGTTTCATTCAAAGGTAACATCCATACTCTCGACCTAAACACTATTCATGTCCTCTTAAAGGTGGAGATGATTCACCAGAGTGTTAGTGTAGAATCTGGAGTAATCTGTACATTGTGTGCTTTATTTTGTTAGGAAGTGTTAAGTGATGGCTGACGTGTTAGAACTGAATTTTCAATTTTGTAGTATCATATAACCATTACCAATAATATGAAAAAAATGAATTGTTGTAGCAACACTAGTTAGCTGTAGAAAATCAGTTGCACAAGATATTGCACATCCTTAAAATTAATCTCCCAGTTTGTTCACAATTTGTTGGCAGCGATGGGAAAGCCAGTCTCATTTTTTTAATTGCTGTGAAAATGTTGCTTATTTTGTGTTATGGAAATTTCGTTTCATGATCCGAAATACTTTCGTTCACAATTAAATCGTAAAGAAAGTAATAGTTCTAATGTATTTTATGTCTTCTACTTAAAAGCAGGCACTGGGGTACATTTGTACCCTGCTTTGTATTCCGCATTTCCAAATTTTATTCTTGATTAATTATTAGAAACGGATTGGAAAAAGATTATTAGATTAGAAATAGTAGAACAAGATGCAGTAATTGTTGGTTATTTGTGTGTAATGAACATTCAGATACAAAGACAATAAGAATATGCATCAGTTGCCTAAAACACGAATAACCTTGAAAGAAGTATTTTGATGAAGTGTATTGGTCTAATAAGAGAAATATAGGAAAAACTGTCACTTAATTCTATTGAATTGGTCTTTCATTATATATTAATTGCTCAAAATAATCAAAATGTTCAATGTTATTTCGTATTTCAAAGAAATCTTGCATAACATTACAGCGGGGTACGCACGTACTCCGCTTGGTATTCAGCTTTACATTTAGAGCTTGTTAAGTCAAGGGTTAAGAGAACAAAATGTGGAAAATCATGTCCACCACTGTACAACTACTATAAATTTTTTGTTGCATTGATCATACCCTGTAGAGATCATTGAGGATATGAGATGGTTCCCAAAACAGTACAATAATATTGCACCTAGAGGCAACTTTACCAGGTTGTGTGTGTGACATTTTTAATGTCGCCCACTTTTGAGAAATAAAAATGGTTGCCGTGATGTATGAAACAATCTATGAATTTGCAGTTATGTGACAAGTAGTTTAAACCATAATAATTGCATTAGTAATAACTTGCTTTAATGAATTGTTTGACATTTCAGGATATCATGATTGAAGACTTGGAAGCAAAATTGGACATTTCCAGTAAAAAATTAGCTCAACAGCAGGAGAGATCAAATAATAAAGAATTAGAGGAAGCGGAAAATAATAAGAAACTAAAATTTCTTTGTGAAGTAAGTGATAAGGCTCAATACTTCTATATTCTACATTTTTCGTTCTAGAAGTGAACTACATTGTGAATGAAACTAACTTCTTGTTGAATTTTTTGGCTTCAGTGTCAGAAAGGGGGTTAAATCTTCAATATTTTAATTGTTTGAGATTTCCTACTCATTAATTTGTTGATGCCTTAAGATTTATTAAATTTAAATTAATGAGGATGCAGTCTAAGAGCAGGGTGGTCAACAGTTTGGGGGATGCCTAGAAATTTAGAATTGATGAAAAAATGCAGTATTGTTAGGGTATTTTTGCTTTTTCTTTACTAGTTTTGGTCAGTATCACAAAAAAGTGTGATCGTACTGTATTTAGCTGAATGACAAATCTTTTTCCCCAAAAATCTAGTTTGAAAAATATGAGGTTATCTTACATTTGCAGAGCCTACCCAGTTAAGATAAGTTTCTACATAGCCTTTCTAAGTCACGGATCTCAATGTTGATGTTAACAATAAGCTAAGATGATAAAAATATTACGTATATCTATAATAGTTATTACTCGTTTATTATAAAATCATATTATAGCTACAAATTTTCATTACCACTTAGCATTTTCAGTGATTCAGACTGAGGTTTTGAAAGGATAGGTAGAAATCTCACATGAACAGCATTGCCATCAGGTTAAATGCTTTGTGGAAATGATTAAAAATCATTGTATATATTTTGTTACACAATGTGCTGATTGATGATGTCATGTGAACTCTCGGTTCAACCCTCAGCAATAGGAATCTGTGTTTTGCAAGATTGGAAATGAAAAAAAGATCATTGATAGATGTAAGCATTCTACCTTCAACCACAGAAAACATTTCTTAAGCCAAAACTTCCCAATCATGAAATAGACTGATGTTATCAGAGAAACAGAGGAATGGAGTTTGCTGTCACAAGAAAATTAAACAATGCAAATTTTAACTTCACTCTGTTAAAGAATGTAAAAGAAATGTCAAGAAATGTCTCGCCACGTAAAATAAGGCAAATTCAATTCAATTCAATTCAAAGAAATCAGAGGTTACAAGCAAGTGGGATGGGAAGATAACCTGGTAACACAGGAGTGTTCTAGATGGCGTCAAATCAAAGATGAACACACTTCAACATGCATAACTTTAAGGTGGCTTTAAAAAGTCAGAAGAAGAAAAAAGCACAAGATGTGCGAAAATGAAGAGGGTGGTGACAAAGCCATTTTGGAAAAGTGTGAAGGAAATAGTGACGACAGTTCAGGCTGCAAGTTTTATTATTGTCTTCAATCAGACAATTGTCTATTCAAGTAGACAATTTGAAATTTTATTTTGACTATGTTGGAATTATGGACAGCTTGCACCCCAGTCTGTCGACACACAGAACTTTCCCTGATTACAAGCGAATTTTGGCAGATTACAACTTGAGACGCACAACACACTGTTAGCACAAACCAAGCCACATGCATTCTACTCGACGGTCACAAACACAGTACTGTTCTAGTCAAAGAGAACACAGGACTGTAGTCGATTGCTTAGCATATCGATAGGCTAATGGGATATCATCACACTCCTGGTGGAATTGTATCATCCTGTCGAGAACTCCAACAGACTAAATTGTAAGAATTCTAAAACTTCGCAGGATACCTCTATAAAACTAGGGGGGTCGTCTTGTATTCATTCTACTGTCTTATATTCGGGGTAAATATGGTAAATAGACCCATTAGTTCCTCCACTACCTCAATCATTTCTCTGACTTACTTAGTCAAATGAAGCATCAGAAAAAGGTTGATTTATTTCTGGAATATTGAATGAAGGTTATTCCTGTATACATTTTTCTGTAATCCTTCATTCAGATTAAGTTTATTACAAAACTTGCAAAAGAGTTTTTGCCCAAAAATGTTGATTCTCTCAGAATGAATTCTCAATGATTTTTGGATAGTCATATATTAAATATATAATCATTGACTCGATGAGAGTGAATTGTCAAATAACTCTGCATTCTTCACTTTTAACACAGTGGTGCGTAAAATGGAAAATAAGTGGTATTTTACTTGCAAACATTAATCATTTTCTCTACATATGTAGATTCAGCAAATTCTGCTATTAAAATGATTAAACAAGTGAAAATAATAATATTAGTTTCCCCTAAATAAGAAAATATATAAAGTAGCACTGCATTGTCTCTATTTTCAGCTCACTGAAAATGGGGTATTTTTTGTGCTTTTGTTCCATAATCATTGTTCAAGAAATTATACACTCTTTTACTAGTTTGTGAAATCCACATTAAAAATGATATTTAATGGATTTTGGTGTAGGTTTCTTTAAGAAACTGTCCATTGATTGGAATAAATAGACCTAAAAAAAAAATTTAAAATTATGCCAATTGAATACAAAATATTTGGCTTTAAAATAGAAAACATTTTAGAAAAAATAGGGTATTTCTATGCATGAAATTGTTGACCACCCTGAAACGATAGCATATAGTGAGAGTTCGTGTTGTTCTCTTCAGAAATAAATTTTAATAAGTACAAGAATTGTTCATTTTCTTACAGATTCCTCGTGTTAGTTCAAGGGCAAAAAGACTAGTAGAGTTGTCTTTAGGAAAGCGTTCCATGGAGGAGATAAATAAATCAGAACGTAGTACCAATAAATTTGCAAAATTTTCAGTGGATAAGTGAACAAAATCCTGAGAATAGAAATTTTAATATATTGAATTTATGCACTAAGGAAATTTAGTTGCAGGAAGGGAAGTTGTATTTCTGTAATTTTATTGACCTCTTCTGTACATTTATTTACATAACCATTGAGGTGTCAATAGGTTATTTTTTATATGACAACATTTTTGTTATTATTATTATTATTATTATTACTGTTTTGTTATATACATAGCAATTATATCTATGAATGTTAAAATATTGACATTGCTTTTATTATTTTGAAGTTATTATTGAAGAGTGTTGAATGACCATTGTTAAAATATATGCATTGTATATATTCTTCGTGTTTCAAAGGTTTATTTTTGAAACATTCTTATTTGAGTTGCACATTATAATTTGTGCGAGATTGCTGTGTATGAGCATGTGTGGGTGTGTTCGCATATGCTCACGCACACGTGTATACTTTTTGGAAGAAGTGAAATGATATTTTATTTTTCAGTAGTGAAATATACAATTATTTCTCACATTTATTTCTTTTTTATTTCTATTCTCTCACATTTCTCACAATTATTTCTTTCATTTTAGCAAAAGGACTGATGCTCTCTTCATCCTTTATTTTAATTAGATCTGTAACTGAATTACTTTTTCATAAATGTCTCATTAAAAATGCAGCACATTTTTGGTCTTATTTTATCAAAGAAGTTGTACATAATTATCTAAAATAGCTCAGTCCCCCATTATTGCCATTTCTAATTACTTAAACTTACTATCTTGAAAAGTTAAATTACCTTCAAACATAGAAAATATTACTGGATGAAGGGTTAGAGTTGTTATCTTCCTTTAAATTGACTTGTTTCTTTATGCTTTATTGGTATCACGTGCTCTGCACATTAAATACTTTATCAACCATTAAAAAAAGGTTACAATATTGTCATCACTCTAAGATGTGATTCAACATCAACTAAATATTAACTAATGTATGTTAATATGTTAAATATTTCTACATGTCAAAGGTGTTAATATTTTGTTCTGGTTACATACAAAGTAAATAATTCGAAGTTTCAATGGGTTGTTACATTTTATTGTGTTAGTATGGAAAGTAAAAAAAATGCTTTTCTTTTTGAAGGAAACAAAATACAAAATCTTAATGGTTTGAAAATTTGAAAAAAAAAATTGTAAAAAGACAACTCAAGAATATAATGAAAAGCAAATAAGTTGCTGGATTATTTATTCTAGTTATTGTTGCTTTTGTTATTATTATTATTATTATTCTTGTTATTATTTATTATTACTCTTATTATTTATATTTTTATTAAACTGGTATAATAAGCAGCAAACAGTCAATAAATAATAAGTGTAATATCTTAATTTTGTTTATTCTGGACACTTTAAGGCTATTTATTTCATCTATGTGTAGGTGCACCTGCACCTGCCCATGTAGGAATATGGCAGTTGTGGTAATACCTTTGGCATCCCTTTTACTTTTAGCAAACCTCAGACAACTGCGTTATCTCAGGGTGGGGAAAGGAGACTGGTTGCAAGGAGAAAGAACTGTTCTGTCCTTGGACATCATATTTTTGGTTCATTCTGTCCTTGGACATCATCAGTTTCTTGGTTCATTCATCCTTGTAAGAACACACATTTAGAAAATAAGAAGAATCACTAAAATTGTCATTTCTTAATTCATTTTAAAATTTTTTTCTATAATGATCAATTTTCTACTTGTCAGCTAAGTTTAGCTTGCACCCAACACTCACCGTGCTGGATACTCATATTCTCATGAAATGTCACCAGCTGTTAGAACACCGTGCATAACTCAAATATTCAATTTTGAAGCTCTATTGTGTGCTACAAATTGTGTTTTAGAGGGATTTGCATCAAGACCTTCCGTGACCTTATCTCCCACAGTGGGCTGACATATGCATTGGCATTGCCAGGAACATTATGTGATGTCTATCAACCGGTGTCAGATTTCTAGCTCAGATTTTGTTCTTTCAGGACTGATTGCATAGGCTGTATTCTGTGCTTTCTTTATAATATGGAATGTAGAGTGACGCGCATTCTTAATAATTCTACCAATCTCAGTAGTTACAAATGTTATTTTTAAGGAAAAGAAAACATAAGGTGCACTTGATGACATTTAATTATTTATTTGTACAATGGGCAACAAAATTCTGATATGGCCACAATGCAGATATGTAACAAATTTCAATTAATTTATAGTGAAGTAAATGTTAATAATTTATAATCTAAAATCACAGAGATGAGTATACAGTCTTTTAAATTTGGAGACAGTGCTAACTGAGATGAGCTCTTCTAGAAGGCTATTCCAGTAATTAACTATTCGGTACGCGAGGATGTTTTTGTAGTTTGTGTGTTTGAATTTAGCCTTCTGTAGCTTTTGTGGTATTCTCTAATGTTGCGGGCACCTGTATATGTGTAGAAGTGTAACGATTCCAAAGCATTGTAGAAGCCATGAACTAAGGATTCCAGTGTGTAATAATGATTTGTGCAATTGTGGCGGTTTTCCAATCTCCATCTAAAATTCCTGTGTCCAGTGATTTATGAAAGATGGATGTAAGAGGTGCTGCCAGTTTTGTGGCACAGATTTTCAACAATATAGAAGGGATAGCGGCCGGGCCTGGTGAAGAGTTAGAATCTTGCTGGAAAATAATTTTAAATATGTCATCTGATTGGTAATCCTTGTCTTTAAGGAGGTCGGTAGGTGACTTGCCATGTAGAAATGGTAGTGGGCCTTCTGGGTCAATTGTGTTGAATTTCAGAAATTCCAGGACAAACTCTTCTGCAATTGGAATAGTGTCAATACAAAGAGCTTGTGGGTATTCAACAAAGAAGGATGTCTGGTGTCAGCATATAATTGTTTGTTTTTTGCACCTGGGAAATGTTATGTTCATACTGTTTCCGGTCTCTTCGCAGAATGTTGTGGACCTCATTTCAGAGAAATTTGTATTTTGGTGGAAAACAGGCAAATCAGTCCTATGATATAAATAGTTCTTATGTTTTACTTTAAAGAGTCAATTTTTTTATCCATAGCTTTGTGTGTGCATGCATGCGCGAGTTTGGCCATTTCTAAACTTAGTAGGCTGGTGTACAAGTTGTGTCAAAAGGTGTGGCTGTGAAAGTCTCGAGAAATTTAAGAGTAAATTGAAGTCGCGAAAGGTAACTGTGTTGATTCCTTCATTGATTGTTCTGAGCTGTTAAAGAATAGCATTATCTCAGTCATTGAAGGTATTTGAAGGCAGTCTATACACTGCTCCCAGCTCCATGCAAATTTTTGCATGTTGGATTTCAACTCGCAGTGTTTCATCAATGTGATGGATACTGTGCTTGTTAGTGGTTGCTATGATTGGAATATCGTCGACCTCCTCCTTCACATATATTGTACCACCACCTTCTCTTCTGCCTGGTCTCTCTCCACAAAAGATTGTATAACCATGGAGTGCTATCATTCTGTCTGGAAGTTCTGGATTAAGCCAGGTCTCAGTTAACTACAAACCACATGTTATGATATTGAAAATTTCAACCTGAAATTGTTCAAATTTATACATGGGGCTGCCAAATTAGTGTACATTAATTTGAGGGTGTTTCCTTCTGCCTTTGGGCTTTTCACTGAAGAGATTTACTTCCCTCTCCTGAGATGATTTGAGGAGTGCCTCTAACGTACTTGATTTTTGGTTCACTGTCAGGTTTTTGTACTTCATGTAGATCTTTTATAGGTTGAATAAGAGCTGCACATTGCAGTGGGGTTTGGTTGCTTTTCAGTGAAATACCTGTAGGCAAATTTTTATCATGTCGAAGAATCGCAAGTAGAAGATCTGAAATGCTGAAGCTCATTCTTACTGGTCTATCCTTATTTGCATCTTGTTTCCCAAGTTTTGTAAGATGTGTATTTTCCAGTTGTGTTTTCAACAGAGAGATTATGGATGGATCTGCAATTGAGATTTGTATCGTTGTAGTAGTCGTATCAAAATTGTGTTTATTTTTCATTTCAACATTGTTGCTCTTGCTTTCAATGGTGCCATAAATAATGAGGATTTTTGATCTCCTAGCTTGCTCTTAAATTTCTTCTACAGCTGCACGAATAAGGTCTTTAGTTTTTGCAGGTGATGCAGTATTGTCTGAAGCTGTAGTCTTCTCTAAAACGGGGTACGTTCAGATTAAAGTTTCTCTAAACGACTAAAGATTTCAATGATTTTTTACTGATTTGAATTTAGCAGATAATTCGAAATTGTTTGTTTGTGGTCAACTTTGCAACGAGAGTATGTATATCTTCTTGGCATTTTTTGACATTTTCAGTTAGGAAGTTGATTTTCTGTGAAATCAATGCCTGCTCAGATTTTATATCATTGTGAAGTTTCAGTACCTCAGATTTTATATCATTGTGAAGTTTCAGTACCTCAGATTTTATATCATTGTGAAGTTTCAGTACCTCAGATTTTATATCATTGTGAAGTTTCAGTACCTCAGATTTGAATAATTCTGATAACTCTGAATTTGTAGTCTTGTTTGGTGAGTGAGATAGTTTACAGGAATCCATTAACTCTACGGGAGTAGTAGAGCAGCAATAAAATTAACTACAGTCATTTCAGATGTTTTTGCCTACACATTTGCTGCAGCCATCATGAAATACAGAATTACAGTTAGCAGTGCAGTGTCTGAGTAGCTGTTTTTTTTTCATGAACATGTTGAGTTTTGGCTTGTCATACATCTGTAATAGAAGTAAAATCAGAGGATCGATTTCCTTCACGACCTCTGGCGGTTCCCAAGCAAGCAGTTCCCAAGCTGCCGTCAGGTAGGCTGATAGTGGCAGCTAACAACTAACAGCTGCATGACCAGAGGTGTGCTGTGATTTTGTGTTTCAACAGGCAGTATGGTCTTAATACTAATTGTCACAAAAACACGATTTGCAATGCTTCATATCACTAAAAATTTATATGAAGGAGTTTTGAAAGGTGTTCAACAAGCTAGTAAAATTTCATGTCAATCTGAGTATCCAGCACGAGTGTTGCGTGTTAAAGCCACTGCTGACAGATCAGGCGGTCCTGGGGTTCAAGTTTCATTGGTGGGGGATTTTTGACACTAGCTAGTTAGCTGGGGCGAATTCAGCTGCTGTCTGGTAGTTTTCCTTTGTTTCTCTTATTAATACCAGGTGAAAGTTGGAGCAGTACCATATCAAACAGACCTGCCCCTATACACAAGCTTTCCTGCCTCTTCCATTTGTATCCTTTCCTCTTATGTACATTTGTACTTGAATGAACTACTGTATCACATCGGGAGACTAGTTGGAGGCTTGCATCTTGTTCTGATTGGCTCAGTGTCCTCTCAAGTGTAGATACATTGAGGAGAGGAATTCCCCTACAAGCCTACATCTAGGTCATTGCCGATCTTACTGTGTGGTAAGGAAGGAACACAAACTTTATAAAGGAATTCATTACTCTAAAGAAACTAATCATCAGTTGATGGGCTCAAATACATGAATCAATTAAATGGATAGTTTTTGCACAATATGTACTAGACGTTCACCCAAGTATACTATTAGTAATCATATATAGAGAAATTACTATAAGAAGAGACCATCTTATCAGCTGCAGCTTGGCCAAGCCTCTGCTGGCAACATAACTGCGGGTTATGTCCAAGCACTTATTTTTTCAGTCCTTTTGTTTATTGTTAACTCCTTTGTAATGGCTTTATCATGGACCCTTGCCGTTGCCCTACTTCACATTAATTGGTTTCTTGACCCATCAAAGAGGTCCCTTCTTAAAGTAACTCTTCTATCATACTAACAGCAAGGAAAACCATAATAATGTGATTGTGTATGAAATATAATGTTTTAATTTTTTATTTCGGAGCCAAAGCAATGGGGAATTTCAATTTTCAAATAATTTGTTTGTCTTAGGTATTACATGGTATCCTTTTCATGTAAGGCAATTCACATAAATGGGTACTTTGGGTATGTCTAGAAGTCTTTTTGAGATCACGGAGTTACTATGAGTATTTTATATTTCATTTGTAGGCAAGAGACGAATATAAATTCAAGATTATCCAGTTAGAAAGTGAAATGAAGAAGCTTCAAAAAGAAAATGAAACACTGAAAAGTCTTCCAAAGTCGCCAAATTCTAGTGAAGTGAAAGCTTTAGAATTACTCGTTGCTAGTCATGAAGATCAGCTGAAAAAATATATAGAAAAATTTAAGGTATTCTTATTTTTTGTAGTTACAGGCTTCAATCCATAGACAATGAGATACGATGGGGTAGTTTATGAGCAAAGCCAAGTTTTGTGTATTGTATTTATGTTTGAACCAATTGGCCTTTGCACATAAACTCTTTTAATTGCTTGGTATGTAACATTTATACATTTCTTTCAATTTATATAATAATTGACATTATTTTTCAAACGATTCTTTCAATTTCTGGGAAATTACACTAATGTTGGGAGAAAGTGGATTAAAAGGAATCCCCTTTTCTGTAGAGCCTCCCTGTAGAGACATTCTTCTACAATGGAAAGAAGAAAATTGATTCAAAATTGCACTGTCATTATTATATTTTTTGATTGAAATCAATTTAAAATTATTTTTGAATATTTATTAATTTCATATCCTATTCTGTCATTATTAATTTTAATCATATTGATAAGGGTCTCTTTTTTAACTTCAGGTTATTTGACCTCGGTCAATTAAGATTGAAGATATTCTTTTTAAACGGCTCACCAAAGACAAAAAAGTTAGTGAATTCATTTCATTGCACTCCTCCAAGATAATTTGTATTATAAATAGAGCATCTTTTGTACTCGGCAAATCTAACACTTTTGAAGAAAATTTAAACTCTATTCTTAATATTCCTGGTAATTTTTTTCTCATATTCTACTGACAAAATAATGAGAACTTGTTTTTTAATTTTTAAATCATTAAATGTTATTCTCTCTGAAGTTTTAATTTTTTAAAATTTGGTGAGCAATTCATTATTTAGAGAGCATGCTGCCAGTTTTCTTGAAATAAAGAAAAATACCATTAACTTGAGAATCTAGAACACTATTCCACTGAAAATGTAATAAAATTCTTGTTTGATGAACATGAACTAATGTTGTTGTTTTTATAGCAGGCATACATGATATGAAGTGATAAACATAGAAAACATTAAACTGTACTTTTCGTATAGTAAACTATAAGATTTTTCCTTATGATCTACTTTAAATGTCCTACACATTTAAAAATAATTCAGGTTGAAGAAACCATTTGTATTTAAAAAATAGACCATATCATATATATATATATATAAATAATAAATTCAGGTATTGGATGGTTGAGCTGCAATAAGCACTTGAAAGTTGATTTAAAAAATACTTTTTGTGCACAACTTTGCCATTCAGAAACATAAACACTCCAGAATCTTTTACCAAAGAAATGAATGAAGAAAAATTTAACTTTTTACCATTTACTAAAGAAATGAAGAGATTTGTTCACGAAGAAAAATTAACATAGAAATAAAAATGAATCTAATTTTCGCAATTCAGTTGCTTTTTTATTTCTGTGCTAACTGTTCTTTGGAAATTAATCTATTTGTTTCTTTTCTTGCTAATAACTAGTTACAGTTTTTCCATTAGTTTTTGTATGATTTTTTTGTACCTTGTCTAGTTTATTTCTGCTATAGCATGTTCTTTAATCCAAAATATTTTATAGTGTTTTACTCATTTCCATTTTGGCATTATATTCAAACTTTTTAGTTATAATTAATTTACTCATAATTAACTTTAAATATCAATATATCAAATTCTCTTAGCATTTCTATTCTGTGAACATTTACAGAATCAAGAAGAAGCCAACAAATTTCTTGAGGATGAATTATGTCATTTGAAGGCATCATCAATATGCAGTAACCAAGAGGCAATGGAAAAAGAGATCAGCATTTTACAGGCTGGTTAGTCCTGTCTTTTTCTCTGTGCTGTTTTTCATATCTTGAGTCCACAAATAAGTCGTTTTCATAATTTGATGTTTGTTTTCCTCTCCTTTAATTTTATACTAAGCACTTTTCCTTTTGTCAAATGCTGTAATAGGTAATACATGGTTTATTGATTATGTTTTAACATTAGCACAAAATATTAATACTAACATGTAAATACATAAAATTATAACATAATTCTTCTTCTTGTATAGAGGTTAAAGAAACTGCTAAAGGAAGGAAGGAATTAATGGACAAAGTGGAAATAATTTCGAAAGAATTAGAAGAATCGAAACGCTCTCTGCAACTGGCAGAAATGGCTCTCTCTGAAGAGCAAAATAATACAAAAGCTATGAGGAGGTATGTGCAACTTTTTGTATTTGAATGTTCAAGAGTTTAATTAATAATTTTGCTTTCTGAGATTTTGAAAAAATAGCTTCTCAGAAGAAAGTTCTTTCCTTTCAAATTTGATTGCCATTTATTTCTGAATTCCAAGTTGGCCACTTTTGAAATCTGTTAAAAATGTAGGGAATTAATTGATCAAAATGAATAAGGGAATTTAGAAGAATCTTTAATATTTATGGACACATAAATGTAACTGCCCTTTCGGACTCTTCACGATGATTGCTAAAAAGATACAATAAAATAACTAAAAACGGACATATTTAATATAAAGAAAAACAGTCGAAGGTGCAACAGTAGAAGTACAAAGTGTTAATTTCTAAAAGAACCCAAGGAGCTGTGCTGGTAGCAGACCTGGGAAGAATAAATAAATAAAATAAATCAAACAAACAAACTACGTAACTTTAAGAACCAGTGTTTAGGCATGATACAGTCCCTTGAATCCCGGTTAGATATATACATAATGAAACATTTTATTAAATATCCTTTTAGAGCAAGAACACGCTGAAGGCATATAAGAACGGGCCGATTACTCCCGTTTAGGGGCCAAAAAAAAC